CCCAACTCCTTTTACGTGTTACTACGACAACGACAACTCAGTGTAGTTTCACAAGTGGGGTTTTGGGAGGCACAAGTGGGGTTTTGGGAGGATAGGATGCCCTTACCTTGAAAGGGCAAAGAGACTGTTCATTATATTAAAAATGTATTTTTACTTTTACTTGTTCACATTTAAATGCTTACACATTGTGTTCACATTATGTATTTATTCCTATATAAATAAGGGAATAAAGATGGATATGCCAAAGACATTGTCTCTCTTTTACGGTGTTAGAGCCATCATAGCCTAACAGTCTCATTTCCTGTTTCAATGGGTGACAAATTAAAGTCCCCTATCTCCAGCAAATAACCAAGATGCAAACAGTACCTCCATTCCCTTAATTTTTTATCCAATTATATAACCCACCACCATCTTCTTCAATAATTAATTAGCATCAACGCCACCTCCTAGATTCCACTAAAACTTTCTTCCACAAATTACTTGTCATGTGGAGATCATCACTTCTTCATGTCCTTTGTTGAAACCAAACCCACACCCTCTAATTTATCATCAACTTTTTGGATTCGGCATCATATGATGTTTGGCAATATCTCACTTTTGCCAAGTCCTCACGAGCCCGTTTAATGAACCAAAGGGACTCACTCTATTCCTATCTCCAACATATATAATAACGTATATGTTGAATTTACTCCTTCCTCTTTTTTATGTCAAGGACGGGGGCATATCTGCTGGCAGCGAAATCTAAGGACGAAGTCTATGTTGGTATTACTATGTTAAAAATCAGAAAATTAGAGAAGCAGAGAAACATTAGTTTAATAAACAAAACAGAAAAAATAATTCCGAGCCCATAAGTTGCTTGTGTGTCCTTAAGGAATTTAATCCCCTCACTGTTGCCCAAGGTTTTGGATTAATTCCTCCCAGGATAGAACGGAATAACTATTCTGCAATACTGGCAATCGAAATTACAGAATTTCAGCGAACTCAACAGACGGAGCAAATCACACTTGACACTTATGTTTATTTGAAAATAATGCAAATAGAAAAGAGGGGAGAAATTTTCAGATTTTTCCATGTCTTAAAAATGAGGCAAACCTCTAAATTTATAGACAAAGGAAGGGTGAGATGGAGAGGTGCAATCCAAAAGCTGCCTCTTCCATTTCCCATTCACACCCTTTAAAAAAAAACGCAACAATTCCCCACATGAAGGGGAATGGATATATGTGAAAAATATGCATGAAAATACTGTGTGATTCGCAAGTAAGGATTAATCGTATCTGGATAAGTAGGTTTCCCTTTGAACTTTCCGTAGTGAACTTATGTCGGATATACTCGGTCAATCGGTAAATTTGATATCTTTGAACCGTCGAGCTTTGGTGTATACCTAGACAACCATAAGTAATGCAATCAACCCTTAACCGTCTTTGGTTCTCATTGTTGTGTTCGTTTCAGCCATGAACACCACCTGGTTCATAAGTGCGTAGAGAACTGGCCTTACAGAATTCTCCTTGAAGCGGCTTACACTTCACACTTACATAGGTAATTCCTAAACGTGTTATCCCGTAGATACACTATTTGATATACCCTGTATCAAACTTAGAAACCATTAAAAAGTCTTAACTCTTTATCCTTGGTACTGAACATTGTCTCATCACGAGAATGGACCAAAAAGAAATTTTATTTGACAATGTTGAACCGTCATTAGTGACTTTGTTTGAGCTCCTTGAACCTAGATCTTGGAATCTCCAGTCTTCTAGGTAGAGTTACGCCACAATGACTTGTCCTCGGCCATAGTCACATTCCCTCGATGATCTTTCAACTACCTCTCTAGTTAGGCCTTTTATAAGTGGATCCGACACATTATCGCTTGACTTTACATAGTCAATTATGATAATTCCCCTAGAGAGTAGTTGCCTAACAGTTCTATGTCTTCCTATATATGACAAATTTTCCGTTATACATAACACTCCCAGCCCTTCCTATTGTCGCTTGACTATCATAATGTATACATATAGGTGCCAAAAGTTTGGGCCAAAATGGAATATCTTCCAAGAAATTCCGGAGCCATTCAGCTTCTTCACCGGCCTTTTCTAAGGCTATAAACTCAACCTTCACTATAGAGCGGTCAATGTACATTTGTTTGAACGATTTCCAAGACATCGCTCCTCCACCGACTGTTTAGAATCGGTTGAACCGGTGATCTAATTTGCATCACTATATCCCACTATTATCGAGAGATACTTATTGTAGTGCAAAGCATAATTTGGAGTATACTTCAAATACTTCAAAACTCGTTTCATTGTCATGAAAGTTCAATGTAAACTTTCTTATGTTGTAGACTAATACGTCTCGACTTTCGATTGCATATCAGATTATTGACTACACTTAACGTAGCAATAATTTATTAGAACAATAACAGGAATGATTGGCATCAGTTATGTCCACAACCTTTTAATATATAACACATTTTGCAATCACTCCGTCATTTTCAAGTATTTGTATGATATTTATTCATACGTCTATATGATATGCAAATTATAGCACCTTCATTTATGAAACAAATCCAACTTTCAATGGATTTTGGTCATGTTCATCGGTTGGTTCACCTCATTATAGACCAACGTATTAATACGTTCGTTTATGAACGATCATATTTATACAAGACATATATACACACTTTTCATGAAAAGCCACAGCCTTCCAGGTAACACCCTTTCATAAAAGAGCTAAACATTATAAATGTTCAAGAAAGAACAAAACATTTCTGGAAAGGCACGTAAACAACTTTCGAATTTGTAGTTTCATCACTAGTCATCACTAAGACTGAACAAGTAATGAATTCACCGACTACCATATCAATATCCCTAAGGATTCGTGGGTTTTGAAGAATTATATCATCTAATTCTTCAAGATAACATATATCATTTAGACATTACGTCTAACATTGGCTTTTGTCATGCATAAGCTAAAAGCCCCCACATTTTAAATATTTCATCAACATATCATCTACATATAATCAAATAATGACTATATGACTTGAAGTATTCTTAACGTAAACACATTTGTTTACACTCATTAATTTTAAAACCATTTGACAATATTATTTGGTCAAATCTCGCATGTCATTGTTTGGGTGCTTATCTTAGTCTGTAAAGTGACTTAACAAGTCGACACACCTTCTTTTCTTTTTCAGGAACCACGAACCCTTCAGGTTGTTCCATATAAATTTCTTCCTCCAAATCTCCATTTAATAATGTTGTCTTTAAGTTCATCTGATGGATTTCAAGGCTATACACGGCGACTAACGCTATTAACACCCGAGTAGATGTAATCCTCGTTACCGGCGAGTATGTATCAAAATAATCAAGACCTTCTCGTTGTCTAAATTATTTGACGACTAATCTTACCTTATATTTTTCAATAGTACCATCAACTTTCATTTCCTTTATGAAAATCCACGTATAAGGCAAAGGTTTATTTCCTGGAGGAAGATCAACCAATTCCCAAGTATGATTATTTAATATGGATTCTATTTCACTATTGACTGCCTCTTTCCAATATTGTGCTTCCGAGGAAGACAATGTTTCTTTAAAAATTTGAGGCTCATCTTCCAACAAGAATGTCAGAAAATCCGGTCCAAAGGAAGTAGTTATCCTTTGACTTTATTACGTCTTGGATTTTACTAATTCAACGTACTTTCCTTTGCTTCTTACCGAGTTCGTTTAGATATTTCACTAGACGACTCACATTCTTTTTTATACGGATAAATATTCTCAAAGAATTCAACATTATCTGATTCGATTACCGTATTAATATGAATGTCGGGATTTTTTGATTTATGAATCAGAAAACGATATGCCTTACTATTTATTGCATATCTTATGAAAACGGAATCAACAGTTTTCGATCCAATTTTATCCTTTTGAGTTTAAGAACTTGCACTTTACCCAAATACCCCCCACAATTGGAAATATTTCAAGTGGGGTTTTCTTTCTTTCCAATTTTTTTTTTATATGGAATGGTATGTGTCTTGCTATGAGGAACGTGAATGAGTATTCGGTAAGCTGTAAGCATAGCTTCCCCCACAAGTTTTGGGTAAACCAGAATTATCAACTAGGCATTCATCGTCTCCTGTGACGTTCTATTCTTTCTTTCCGCAA